TCTCACACGCCTCCCCATGCGTCGTCCCTGTTGGGGCACTGTCATTAAATACTGCCTCCATTGGGACGACACATGGAAAGGCACGTGAGAGGCGGAGAGACTATTAAAAGATTAGGCAGTTTTCCTTTCATGAACGTCCGCCATATTTAGGTTGTGGCTTTGTAGAGCCATGGCTCAACTCGATGTGAATGCAGCCTATAACTGCATTCAGAACAGTGGACTAACTAGTCTGTGGGTCAAATAAGGCGACTCACTCAGATTGCCATCTAATCCGCTAAAAGACATTGAATAGATTTCCTGTGGAGAAGTATTCAAGTGTGTTGGCCAAATTTGATTCTCGGACTATAGTCCACTGTTCTGAATGGCCCCATTCAGAATAGGGGAATAACTAGTCTGAGGGTTAAATATGGCACCATATTCCGCTTATAGACACTAAATAGATATCCCATGGGGAAGTATTCAAGTGGGTCGGCCATATTTGACCCTCGGACTAGTTAGTCCCTTATCTGAATGGGGCCATATTGTGGCTTATTAAGGGATTAACCTTGCTTGCACTGTCTCCTCACATCAATGGATGCATTCACAACCAATTGACATTGAATAGATTCCCCATGGAAAAGTTTTCAATTGGGTCTGCCATATTTGATCCTTGGATCTGTTAGTCCGCAAATCAACTTGTTCTGAACGTACCCAGTATGACTGATGAAGCCCCTATTTAAGTATTGGGATGAAAGCTTTTACAGGTACGCTTTCATTAGTGGAAGACTGACAATACCACATAGATCAACTTCCATCAGATTTAAGAAAAACTGCCAAACAATGATTTAGTCTGAATGACATCATTGCAAGTTGACACTTACTGGTGCATAGCACAACCTACATGTAGCTTTGTTTTATTTTCAAATTTAAACAAAAACCTTATCGGAGCATTGGTACATAAGCTGCAACCATTAATGTTCTGCTTATACCACAAAGACTGAATCAGCTTTGGACTATCTGACTCTGAGATATGTAACTGGTACCACTACCTGGTAGTTTATCAGTACATGCACTTAAGTTTTGCTTAGGGCCTAGAAAAAAGTATTCTTTAAGTTTCCAACTGATAAATTGTCATGCCTCCCACGGGAATTTCATAAAGGGACTGTAAGTGGAATTCTGATGGTCTTAAATGTTCTCTTTTTCTTCTGAAATATCCTCTCCGAATGTAATCAAAGCTTATCACATCCTTTGTTACTAATGAAATTACTAAACTTGCTCCACATTTGAATCTTTAGACAAAGTGAAAGTGCAGCAGGATGAAACTTTCACTGGCTTTACTCTAAATGCATGAAAGTCTTGAATGGCAGCATATATATATTGAGCATTTTTGAGTTTGAATTATGAATTAATGGTTGCATAATAAAAAGAAGAATATTGATGATGATTTCAGTAATGTTTGTCAGTTTGGGTTTTTTTTTCAGTGCAACAAACTATTCAAACAACATATGAATTATGGGTTGTTTTTTTCTTATTTCTGAAAAGATCAATCAAACTAATGTTATGATTCATACCGAATGCCACTCACTGCTTTCTATTAATTGGTCATGCTTCAAACGTGGTTAAAATGAAGGAACTACATGTAATGTCTGTAAACTGATATTTTTCACCGTTTCAGGTGTAAATTAATTTACTATCCTGTAACCGTCAACCTATTATACCCTTAGCTTGCAGATTCTTATCTACAATTAACATTGCACGTATATCTGATCTAAAAAGTTGAAAGACAAATTGGATTTTGAGAAGAAGTAATTAAATCAAGTATAATGGAATGCCAATCCAAATGAAATTAAGAAGTTCCCAACTCTTCTATCACAGAATTAATGGATATTTTTTATACAGAATATTATATGCAAAAACCCACCTAGCTAAGCTATGTTATTGATAAATCTAGCAGTTAGATTAGTTGCTGTTATTGGCTAAACAAATTTTTGTAAAGGTCAGTGTGACCTTGACCTTCGACCAACTTACTTCAAAAGCAATAGGGATCATCTATATGTGCATGATGAATGTCCTGACCAAATATAAGGACTGTACATGAAATTGTTATCTATTTATTGTTTGTACAAGGTTTGGTTATGGAATGCATGGCCAGGCAAGCAATGTCTAAGTGCCAATAAACCCAGCTTCTTTGAAAGGAGGCATATTTCAATGTAAACCCTTGGCAAAATGAAAAGCTTGCGGCAATGACTTTGCAAGAAAAATTTTATTGCTGCTAATTTGCAGTCATATTGCAGCAAATTTGCTTCAAATTTACAAGAGGAATTGAAGTTTGCAGCACTATTGCAGCAAATTTGCAGCAGGCCTTCTGCCTATCAGGGTAAAGCAGCTGAGAACACATTTCAAAGTGACTGTAGAAGACTTTATAGTGCCAGCCTTAATTATCATGTATATTCATCTTAAAATATAATATAAAATTAAGGTGTCATCAGTGAGCCAAATTCGATAATGTCAACTTGCATGTAAAATTGTCATCTGAGATCTTATATCCATCCACCAGCAAAAAACTTAATCATTCAATATATTTATATACTAACTTGATTTGTTTCTATATTTAGCATGTCCAAAAGGTATATGTTGTGTACCCTGGCTACACAGCAGCATGTAACAGTTGACGTATTCACATAATTGTCAAACGCAGCTAAGTACTCCTGTATGCATATGTCATACATATCTGACAATTATCCAGGTTTTATGTGAATATGTTTTATGAAATTTGATTTATGATAGCTCTTTGAAATTTGAGGACTAGATCTATTAGTTGGAATGTGGTTATTTTACATCCTTTGTATTAAATTCCATCAATAAATCTGCACTCGTTAT